TTTTGCTCTGACCAACCAATCAGAGGACGGAAAAATGCTGACATCATTGTGGGCCAGCTAGCTGGCCCTGTGAGGCGAATTTGAAATCTGATTGGTTAAAGAAACAGTCCCATTGATAATATAGTTTAAGTTACATGGGCCAGCACTTCTGATTCTGAAGGCCCTGGGCAGATTAGAGATTGACATAGCAACACATAGAGGCTGAAATCTGATTGGACAAAAAAATCTAACATCCACATACACGTACTGGAAGCGGTGCAGCCAAGAGAAATGCTACGAAATGAAGAGAACAGACTGTTGGGAATAAATGAATACAATTTCATGGAACAAATATTAGAATTTAGGTTGTAAATGAAGGTCAGTGCTTCTGATAGTGTTTAGGCCAGCAGAGAAGGCCTTGCTGGCCCTGACTGCCCACCTCTGATATACAATATAATAGAACAGACAAGTAGCCACATCATATGTGAGAAGCTGGGAAGAGCAAACAGTTGGCATTTTTCTTAAAGAATGACCTTAATGTTGGTCAATTGTATTGTACTGTTGAATAACTAGTCAATTACACAATACCCCACAGAGATACAAAGATGAATGGCCCAGAGTTAAAAGTGTGCCAGTTTGACTTCAGGGCTAGGATTACATAATCTGCACTGTAGTGCACCCTGATAGCTATGGGGCTATTAGCATAAGGTTTTTCCATTTTTAGCATCACCTTGGCCCAGTCAGGCTGGGCCGCCAACACTAATTCGGCATAATCATCTATCTGTTGCAAGCACTGGAATCACTCCAAATGGTGTGAGTGGGAGGAGAGCTGGGGGGGGCAGCAGAGGGGTCAAAGGGTAAAAATGAATGAAAGAAGCTGCTCTGGTTTGTTCAGGTGATACAAGACTTAGAAACTGTCCCAGTGGAAAATGTGAGCACAGGGAAGGATAGAGACAGAAATTTAGAAGAAAAAACTGAACAAAATCCAAGAAACTAATAGAAGAGAAGGAACTGGGCAGTGGTTTGGATCGTTTAATGGAAGGTTTAGTCAAAATGGGTAAGTGGACCAAAGATGTTTTTTATATTGAGGGTGCAGCATTCTAACAAATTCTGTACATGATTATACAACATTATCTTTGTTAATAAGAAATGATTTACCTACAGCTCTATAATTAATTTAAACTGCAAGGAGGTGTGAAATAGTTAAACTAGGTGTACTTTAATTTAGTGAGCAATAACTTGTAAATTTCCAATAGTAGTGATCGGGCAATATCAAATGAGTCATTATATTATATATATATGTATATATATTATATATACATATCACATACTACGTGTTCCTCAGCTTTTACTCAGTAGATCACATAATGCCTCACTGTGTCACTTTGCCAGATGCTGTTGAACTTTAGTGCAGAGTCATAGTTGGGCAAAAATCTGCCGCCTTAACTTGGGTCAGCTGATCGATTGTACGCTATGTTCATGTAGGGACATGACCCGTGCAACCAGGTCACTCCTGTTACACTGTGGCCACACCCATCAACCGGTTTCTCTTCAGGAATAATAGCTGCATGTCAGTAACTGTGTCTTTGATCTAATGTTTGTTTCATTCATAGGCATCCTTCCAGGAACAGGTGCCTGTGCGCAAATACAGGAGCTTGTGTGTGGGTGGGTGTGCGTGTGTGTGTGTTTGCAGGTGTATGTATGTGTGTGTTTCCATGCATACACTCTGGGATGTGTCAGAGGAAGATCTCAGCGGGACACGTAATGATGTGTGCAGCAGTGAGGCAGAACTGGGTCATAGGGAGGTGGAGAGAGGGAGAACACTGACGAGAGAGGAGCTGTGTTTTCACATTATCTCTCAAGACCTCCAGACACCATTTCCACCAGGGAGTTTCCTCTGTAGACTTTAGAATTTGTCCTTCTTGGCATTTGCCTGCAAAGGGCTTTGGAACAATTAGCAGCATCACACATTTAAAACATAGCACTAGATATTGGTTAACAGGGTCTTAACAGCAACAAACTAACAAATATACATGTCACATTTTTCTTTCAGGAAAACAGGTCTTCAGTCTTTCTTGTCAGAGTTCTCCTCTCCACCTCCCCCTGCTGTCCCCCTCCTCACCTCTTCACTCCTGTTGTGTTGTTAGCACCAACCTTGTCTGTCAGGCTCTCCTCTCTGGTCTTTACTCTCTGCTCCCCCATGGTGGCAGGAATTGCAGGCTTGACTGACTGTGACATCCTTTAAAATGGATGCCACTTTACTGGCTGAAAGCCAAGTGCCAAATGCTTTGGTTCAAATACACAGGCTCTATTTACTGGTTTGCTCTCTCACATTTTATGTGGCCAGGTGGTGTCACTGGGACAGGGTGTTGGAATGCATTATATACTGGTATCATTAGAGTTTGAGATGAAAGGTGACAAAATGTGATTATTTTACACTGAACAGAAATATGCCTGTTTGTAGAAAAAAATTGAGTGGTGTTTGATGGATTGTAAATGAATTATTAGCAGACAAAAATAATTGACACTACCAAAACTGAACAATTTTAATCACAAGCTACGCTACTTATATTATATAACAGTGGGTCTAATGACTGAGTTTGTGTGAAAGAGGTTTCTCCATTTCCTTTGGATTTCAAATCACTGTGTTGGGTGTACGACCTGCTTACTTGGTTCACTCTAGTTTTTTCAGTGAACACTTCAAATAAACCGGCTGCCAGATATGTCCCTTCTGCAAAGAGCAAAACAGAGCCAGGAGGAAAGTGAGCATTGGTTTCCAGATCAGACGGAAACACAACTCCACATGAATGCTAATGTTGCTCCATATCTGAAGGATGTGTAAATAAGCAGATGTTTGCTAACACATTTGCCACAATAACTTTATATAAGCCAATAAATAATAGGCCAGTGTGGTCCACAGCTTGATGAGCTGCAGCCAAATAGTGAAAAAAGTAGTTTTCACACTCCCATCCATTCATTTCTGTCTTGCTTATGGAAACTCTGTTGGTGTTATGTTAAGGATGTAGAGGAACATGAAGCTCCCACACTGACAGACTGGACAACTACAAAAATGCAACCAAATCAGTCTCCTTTTAGTTTGAGGGCCTCTTCTGAGAATGCTAGATGTCTTAATTTGCCTTCATTCTTTCTCTAATAGAGATGGAAATAATATTTAAACTGTGTGGAAAATCTGTCTTTTCCCAATGCCTGAAAAATAGCCTGATTTATATTTATTTGCTTCAAATGTCAGCATAAAACCCTTTCTGTTCCTCCATACAATGTTAATATCAGCCATCCGGCCTTTTCACATTACATTTTATTGCTTGCCCAGATGTTTTTTTGTTTCATATTACAGAATTATATCACAGTTGAACGTCAGCATACATGATGTAGGTAATGTCAAGTCAGTGTTCTGGTTGCTTTGGTGTCTTTGTGTGAATATACTCTGTATGTTTTCCCTTGTACTGTTGTGTTGACCTGCCATTTGTATTTCTTCTCTCCCGTTATAACACTTAGTAGAAGTGTTGGTGTTGTTCTTCAGCATTAACACAGTAATTACACACCTTTCTTTTTCCTGTTTGAGGTTCATTGGTTTTCACGGGTGGAGTTGGCGGTCCATTTTCCATGTCTGACTTCACCCTGCTGACAACATTTCTCCCTCGTTACAGCTTGCATTCGGCGCTACTCAGAGGTGATGACACTGCCGGATTCTTTCATCCAACGCCAGCAGCTGGACGCCAGCATGGCTGACACCTTCTTAGAGCATCTCTGTCTGCTGGACATTGACCAGGAGCCAATCACAGCACGCAACACCAGCATAATCTGCACCATCGGTGAGTGTGACAGCTGGTCACAGACAGCGAGTCTCAGTTTCAGGTTTGTTTTCTAGCAACTGTTGGGTGATATTGCCTGGTCATGTTAGAGAGTCAGCTCCTGGGTGCTGATCCTCAGTGTGTTGGCAGAGTTTGATTCTTGGCTGTGGCACTTTGGAGCCTTAAAAAAGAGAAAATAATTACAAGGAAATACAAAATACACATTGATTCTTTGTTTGTCCAGAGCTCTGACAGTCCAGATAGTGGTTTTGATTCTCTAGCAACCAACATTTTCATGAACAATTCATTTCCTGGCTAATAAAATATTAGATAAATATCAATAAATAGAGAAAATGGGCTGTTTCATTTTTTTAGGTCCAAGTTGACATATTCAGATGGCTTGTTTTGTTTTATCAGCAGTGCAAAATGCAAAGATATTCTGTTTAAAATCAGAAAACAAAGAAAGGAAGCAACTTGTTACAATTGTAACAAGGGAATTTCTCCAGATTAAACAATTAAGCAGTACAACAGGGGTTAAACAATTATCAGAACTGTCGCTCTTCTTTAAATCAACTTTTTGTTTGCCACGATCCTCAGCTACTTCCTGTTTTTGGACTTTTATTTTGGCACATTTCCTCCCCGTTCCTGGTCTCTTGTTCCCAGCTTCACCACTCATCACAAACCCTGATCGCAGTCACCCGACCACACCCATCAATCAGCCGGCTCCCTCCTCACACATGCTGCTGGTTCATTTGTGCCCCTTCTCCTGCGTTATCCCACCTGTTTATCCTTTCCAAAGACTTCTTGCCATTGTCCCCTCTGCTCTCTGTTTTCCCACATATGGACTCGGCCTGTTTTTGTTTGTTTGTTTTTGTTTCATGGACTCTGGTATTATTATGGACTTCTGTTTTTCCTCCCTTGTGCCTAATTGGTTTTAAGTCTTTGTTCTTGTTGTTGTTAGTCTCTGTCAGCTCAGTTTTGATTAGGTCTGCTCCATGACTGTGCTGTTTCATTAGCCGTCTGTGTTTAATGAGTGGTCAGGTTTGAGCTTGTGTTGTTTTTGTGCACTGTGGTCTTAGTTATTTAGTATTTGCATTTTTGGGTACACCTTCACTATCTTAGTAGTCTAGTATTTATCCCTGTTGGTTTACTACTGATGTTTGGTGTTTGTCTGTAACTCTTAGTGTTCTTTGTTTGTTGCTAGTCAGTTATTTAAATAAAGCCTTGTTTCTTCACCTAGCCCTTGTGTCGGCATCTGCATTTGGGTCCTCTTTGCTAACTGTAACAGTGTCAGTAATGTTAAATGTCCTTTCTTTTGCCCTCCTGCTTTTCAGGTCCTGCATCACGAACA